CACTTAGAGCATATAATTAATGACAAATATGAATCACTAGATGCTGTTCTTGGTCAAAAAAGCTGATTGTTGACGGCTACTCGTTAAACGTCTGTAAATGAGCAGTAATCTACGATTGGGCAAAATATAGTGACGTCATGAGCAATGATAGTGAGCAAGCAAAGGAGAGGAAAAACCTGTTTTCAGGGCCTCTCCTTAGAGACTCTGGGAACGAGCTTTAGATAAAGCTTCAAGGGGCCGATTACAAGTCAAATTTCGGCCAATGCTGATAATTTCCCATGTAACGAGGCAAAATTTTAGCCCCCAAGGGAAGGCCGAAAGCGTTAGAGAGGTAGAATTCAAGGTATGACAAAGGATGACTAGGAACCTCAAATATCACTATAATAAAACATATTTACGACAGATAAGTTTCTATCCATGGCTGGCGCAGCTTGTTATTTCCAACATTTCCATTATTTCTTGCTTGATTGGGACAGTTGCTTTTTTTCGAAGGGTAATGACTTTCGGGATTTGCAAAGAACCGTTCAATTTTATCCTTCCCTTTGGTTAAAATTGGTGGCGGAGGCCCCTGGGGAGGGGGGTACCGTTACTTGCTTTTCGGCATACATTTTTCCAATACCTGAGCGATGTCTCGCACGCTACTTGGGTAGGAGCTGTGGTCCATGGGAGTGTAGATCATGTAAGATTGTTGTCTTTTATAATTTTGTTAAATATATTTTACCTTAAGGTTCCCATACTGCCTTCCTGAATACCCCTGACGAGAGAGGAGGATATATTTCTCAGTCACTGAATGATGACAGTCCCCTCATGAACACAGAAAGGAACACAGTTAGTTTCATGTTTTTAACAGAAAAGAAAAACGGTGTATTCTTTTACATGGGGCGAGACAAAGACCATTTGGTAGTTGAACTCGTAAATGGAGGTTTACGAGTCGAAGCAGGCTTCGGCGGAGGTAAAATTAAAGCAGGCGTTATTAGAGACCTTAAAGGAGTCATGTCATGATATTTGCTGTCATTTTAAAAACCTAAAATGTTTTTTGCCTCGGTTAAATTCCAAAAATAATGGCGCAGTTTTGTTATTTAAGACTGTATCTAGGTCATGAAAGTGTTTCTTGTCGTCTGATGTAACGGATGGAAAGGATGGACATGAATTGAAACTTGAAAAAGTTGGGTCACCTTTTTCAAGTTTTAATCTACTCAGTGCCTGCAAAAAATCACCAAAAAAATTTTGAGGTTATTGCTCCCTGATGAAATTTGTCTGATACCTTCTTCGCAACTCTATAGTAAAGCATTTTGGCCACGATTGAAGGCACTAAGTAATAACTTTAAGAGAAAATTGATCGAAAACAGCAGTATCCTCGTGACAAAGCCCAAAAGCTGTAAAAGCTGTCGTCTCTTTTTAGGGCTCAGAATGAATAGGGGTAGCACATGAGCGGACCTAATGACTGAAAGCAAGGGAGCAAGGGATGGCGCAGTGGTGAGAACGCTCGCCTCCCACCAATGTGGCCCGGGTTCAAATACCAGCGTCGACGCCATATGTGGGTTGAGTTTGTTGTTGGTTCTCTCCTTTGCTCCGAGAGCTTTTTCTCCGGGTACTCCGGTTTTCCCCTTTCCTCAAAAACCAACATTTTCAAATTCCAATACGATCAGGAATCAGGTAGACGAAGAACCACTTTGTGGATGTGCTACCTCCTAATGATGATTATGATTATGATTATGATTATGATTATTATTAAATGAACAATTTACTCGGGCGCTGCGTGCATACTTTCCATGATGGCGTCAGAGCCTAACCTACAAATAAACCCCACTCAAAGCACCCAATCTCTGACAATTGTACGACTAACATCGCTCAAGGTTTGTACATCTCAGACATCTTGGTAAAATAGTATTCTAAAACCTCCAAAAAACAGACACACATTTTCCCAAGGAAGAGGTTGAAGATTTGTTTTTCCAAAAGACTGACTCTAATTACTTACAACCTTTCTTTGTCTATTGGAGGTCCAATAGGTGTGTTTGTCAATGAAAGTAACCTCTCAGACAGCTGCTGGCATCACGTGGAAGTTCGTCGCAAAAAGGCGCGGTTAATTGTCATCATTGACAAAGAAAAATATGGAAAAATCCGTCAAGAGTCTTCACCAACACATATCAAACTGAATCTTAACAACAAGACATCAAATGTGATTTACTACGGCGGGGGCCCTTCTGAGAAGCTGTGGTTTGCACAAGCTAAACCTTTGTCTTTTACGGGTTTTCTTAAACAGTTTTACTTTGAAGAAATCAATGTGATAGAAAATGCATTAATAAGCCAAAGGAAAGGTTTTAAAATATCAGACCCACTTGGAGTGGGAATTGTAGAGAAAAATAACTCCCTACTGCAATCAGCAGAGTACAACTGCAGACCAGAGCTTGTGCATGGGTCAGGGTGCTTCTCTGATGATGACACAGATCTGTCATGTATCCCTTCAACAACTACACCGACTAAAGGTAAGATTTTAGAGATGATCCTCTTTGTAAGCTTTCTCTTTAATGTTTGTTATTAGCTTTGCCCGAGGCATGGAGGCTTCATCACAACAATTTTCGCCAATTATCAGTTTGGGCCTGAAACAGTCCTCTCCTCTCCATAGGAACCCGTAAGAAAGCAAACTACACCTCCTGGTCGCAAGTCCCGTACTATTTCTAGCAGTAATGCCGGGTTTCATGCACGGGAGCATCGATCTCAACCGGGGCCACTCCACACTGAAGAAAAATAGCCTGGTAGTTTATCAGCAAACAAAAGAAGTAACAACAAACGGGTCTGACTTTGGTAGCTCTTGAGCCAGGACCAAAACTGAAAAGAATTTCTTTACGCTTCCTGGCCAGTTTCAGTACACGCTTTGGTTGAGTTCGTTTCACTGTGACATTCCTCCTTCTAATCTATAAAGGCGGAGCATAACGGACAAGGCCATCCCTTCGTCAAACTAACGATCCGTATGAATTCGTAAGCCGCCGTCTGACGAAAAATTCGTGCTGAGTAAAAATTTCGGTCATATTTTTTGTTGTTGTTTGGCTAACGATCCTGTTTATCACTTCAGGTAGCCGAGAAACAACGGCAACTATATCGGAAAACACCACACTTGCTACCGCAGGACCGCTTTACACGGTTCCATTCAAATCAGAACCAAGCAACAACAACAACAACAACCACAACAACAAGTGCGGCAAGAGCTATGGAAACAACGGTTCTCCAGTAGCAAAGAGAGGGGAAGACTCCCACGGTTCTTCCTGTCCCGTTTCCTTTTCCGGATGGTGCCTTCTATTCTCTGTGACAACCGTGTTCCTACACATTGTGTAATGATGACGTCACACGTTAATCATTCCCTTTGATCTGGAGGTGCGTGGTCTGGGCGTGTTAACAAATTTGCTTCTTAAAAAAAAAACTCTTTGCCCTCTGTTCGTTTACAAGATTGAATGAAAATATACTTAGCTTTGCTTTAATGGATCGTGCAGTTTGGACAAGAAAAACCCTTGAACTCAACTGAAATAGCAACGTTTTAACCAAAAGAATAAAAGCCATAAAAAATCACTTTTAAAAGACTTTGACTATGTTATAAAGAAAACATTTCAACACTGATATAACTTTCACCTCCTGAAACCCCTGTGGTGTATTGTATTGCTGTAACAAAATGACTCAAACAAGAAGAGGGGCTATCCTCTCTTGCCTCAAATTGTTTCCGATATAGCATATATAACATAGTATAATAGTTTTCCATTAGTTAACGGTTTTTGTGGAAAGAGCAGACTGCGTTCGTCAGAAGGAAAAGGAAAGTTAAGAGAGCGCGAAACAAAGGAAAAGAGAGAAAAAAGAGGTGTCAGCGATGTCCTTGATCTTTTTTAATGAACTTATTATCAACCATAAAAGAAAAGAGTACAGTGAGTAGTATAGCAGGGACCGGTTACTTCGTTTAGTTCATCTATGTGAATTAATTCGTACGCCAAAAATCAGTAGACGGGATTTAGAGAAACTTATTGCCTGCAATGAGGACAATGAAAGGGGCAGAAAATTACGTTGCGACTCAGTGATTTTAAGTCACAGGCGAGTTAGCGCTCCTTCGACACCATGAATCAACCAATGAATACTTGTCTAAGTTTTTACTCAACAGATCAAAGAACAAGACACTCATCGATCTGTGAACATGTCAAAGCAGTTAAACCCCCTGAAAATAGTACATGACCTTATTTCAATGAGAATCTACCGCATGTGATTCAAGGAGTAAAGACAAAAGGCTAAGACGTCATCGACGTTAATGTATACCTGTGCAAGTTATTAAGATTCCTGCCCAAAACCCGGAGAAACCGGTCCTTAGTATACTATTACAGTGCGTCCTACTCACTGGGGGGTACTACCATATGCCATATCTGGGCTATTTAGGGTATGGGCCGCTGTGAAAGGTATGGTTTCAAGCAGTTTACTGTTGGATAGGGTATATAAATCAGACAGTTTGGGTCTAGAATAGGACATCATTTTCCTGGAAACGGATCAATTGCTTAAAGATTTTATTCTAGACTAGGGAAACCGGGAATTGCCACTCAAAAACATAAAAAAATCAAATCGGTTTTGTTTTAGCTGGACTGTACTAGTGACCTCGGTAGTTTCTGGAAAACAGCTACTGTAGGATATCGGGGTGGGGGGGGGGAGCAATTGGGGGAGTTTAGTCTAGTATAGGGCAGCAAAACTCAGCTGAACTAGCTCTGCTATAGGCTAACGGTTCCAGGGTCCCAGTGGCACAACCCCACCCATGGCAAAAAGTCCCAACATACTCTCCAATGAAAGGTACAAAAGCCAAGAAGGTGTGTTCCATTATCGAGTTTTTATGCTTTCTTTTCGCTCATTCCGACTGCCGTAAATCCTCTATTAAGCCCCCCGGGGGACTTATTTATTTCGTGCCCATTTGACGGGGGAGGGAACTTAATGGAGACGGGGGGCTTATTTAATTTAGAAACAACGATGGTATCAGTTCTCCATACAGAACTACAATACAAAGTGGAAAAGCTCAAGTACAAGAAGTTTAAGGTCATGCAGCCGAGGATCAAAATCAAATCCGATCTTCCAGTTGATAAGTAAACCATCCCGGATCGGTCTACACGAAGATTTACAGTCGTGGTTGATTAATGCATTCTATCATTTAGTAAAGTATAAATAGGGGAGGGGAGGGGAGGGCTTATGGGCTTATTTGAGAGAGGGGGCTTAATAGAGGATTTACGGTAACTGAGAGCACGGAACAGGCAAAACCAGCCTGTCCGAAGCTTCCTGTCTACCATTAAATGCAGGCTGTCTCTTTGACATCCCAAAGCATCCCATTCTAACTGCTGCCAGGTTAGTTCAGTTGGATAAGCGCCGGTCTACCGAGCGAGAGGTCGTGGAGAATGTGCCGCTTTTATTCTGACATCTATTACGGGTTAGACGTTCAAGTCTTTTCGGAAATGGACGAATAACCGTAGCCTTCGGCCCTCAGCTGCACTTAAAAGAGGAGGGGACGTAGACACCGAAGGTGTGGACAATCTTCCATGGCGGGGTGCAAATAAAGTGCTTGATATCAGTTGGGAAGCAAGTCCTATTTCATCCTCTGACATAATGTTGAATAACCGTGTCGATCGCGAATTTCGGTAAAACAAAACCCAGTGGTTTGATTAGGATTTGATCATGGTTATCCTGACTGAGCGAGGTTATCCAGGGTGCTTTTCCATCCCTGACTCGAAGGCTAAAGCGCTCTGGGGACGATGATGGTAAGTTAATAAAATCGGCATGCAGTTAAATAGACGTTTCTCAAACTTACAGCCCTATCGGCCATTTTAGGGCTGCGTATGGAACTAGGTCGGTGTTAAGTCAAATTGCATCATGGGAATGAATTGGAACGCTATTGCTTCTTTATTAGTCCAGCTGTTATCGACCAAAATTGTTCACTTTTATGATAAAAGCATGAAACTTTGCCAGATTACAACCAACCCTAAGACTAACATTTCTGGATATGGAGCCAAGCCAAATTCAACACTGGACACGAATACTGCGCAGGCCCTAAAATGGCCTACATGAAAACGAGGCTGTTAGTGGAAATCCTTCTAAAATACCATTTTTGAGTGTTCCTGTATATTAAAGTCGTAGATATTGTGGAAGAAGACATTTGCTTTGCTGTCATGCTTCCTTTGGTGTCACGTGACCTCTCCTTCCAAATATGGCGAGGCTATTATTGGGTGTCCTGTGCTGAAGCTGTCTTCTGTGCATTTGTGCGTTTAAAGGTGTGAGAAGGGGTACCTTTTCTGGCAAGTTTAAATGATAACACTCTTGCAACTATTTTTCAATTATCAAGGGCTGTTTTTTACCACACAAATGCAAATCATTACATGAAAACGAAGCAAAAATCTTTTCAGCGGTTTGAAAAGCCCCCGGTTAGCCCTGCGTGCGTCATCATGTGTTGGATTCATAGAGCATTGCCCAACAGCCTGAATTGATCAAAAATTGTGATCGCACGGCGTTTTTGCAGAGTTTTTTTCTCCACAGACGACAATCGAAAGTCACATGACATAGACTTTTTCTTTAAATATGCCATATTTAAGGAATTGAAGAACCCCCCTTTCTGATAGTTGTATCCACAAGATAGTTGTAGATGTCATTGTATCTAAAGAGTAGGTTGTACACCAGTTTTGCCAATGGTGAATCGACACCGTCCCAGAGAAGCAGTTTTTCTTTCATTTAATGAGTTCATAGCCACAAACTGCTACGATATACCCCTTAGTCAAAATTAAAACCTTTAGACTTGTTTGCCTTAGAAGTGTTGTTCCTTATACTTGCATGAGCACTACTCGAGTTGAGGAAACACTAGGAAGGTCACTTTATCTTCTTTTTCACTTCTTGCCTCGTTTTATTGAAGATAATGAGGGCTGGATAAACAAACGCAAGTGCAAGCCGAAAAAAACAATTGAACTAACTCTTTCCCCAAACGCTTTTGTTTGCACTTAACGCTTGTCAACCAGGAAAAACAAGTGTAAACTGCTTGTAGTCCGCCTTTTCTCTTAAAATCCGTCTAGTTCTTAACTCATCCAGCGCGATTGCAAACCACGACGTTGTTATTACAATAAGGGATTGAGACGAGACGAGAAAAGAGGGAACGCCGACTCTTTTGTAGTAAACAAACCCTCCGTCGGCCCAGAAACGGAGTAATCGATTGGTCAATTGCACAGCTGTTGACAGATAATTGAATGGTCTGTGGTGAGATTGCAAGCAATAAAAATAGTCACGCGTCACAACCAACTGCAAACAATAGCGAACCAAACAGTAATCTCAGTAATAGAACTTTAAAGGATATCTTACAGAAGGAAGCTGCCGTAAATTTCCTCGAGGGAAACGAATTCAAGGCAATCTTAACAGATTTAAGGTGGCTCCCTAGAGTATTTACTAATAATCCGAGCTATCAAGCATACGTTACAGAAGGAAATCTAGTTGCTTTGTCTTTGCGATTTTGTT